ACCCTTAACCCAAACCCCTAAACCCTAAACCCGAGAAACCCAAACCCGGACAACCCTAATTATGGGCCCTCTGTGCAGAGTCCTGCACGATGTCATTGCGCAAGTTGTTGAGTTGGAGCTGCCTGAGTGCATCGTTTAGGCATGGTCTAGGGTTGATGGTGTGGGGATCAGGGTTTAGGGTTTTGCGTTCAGGGTTTAGGGTTTAGGGTTTGGGGATTAGACTGTGGGGTTTAGGGTGTGAGGTTCAGAGTTTAGGATTCGGCGTTTAGGGTGTAGCATATGGCGTTCAGGGTGTAGGGGTGACGGCTCAGAGAGTCTAGTGTTCTGGCATTACCTTTGCTTTTTGTCGACCGTCTGGTGCAGTGTTATGATCTATAGTATATCACGATATTCTTGCTTAGGAATACTACAATTGAAATCCACCATAGATAGGTTTGTCATGGTTCTCTTGTTTTCGTTGAGTATTACTGAACTTTGTCTGTCGCTATCGAAGCATACAGCTTCCACACCTGATCCATACACCTACTGCTACCTGCGAAAGGATCAGAATAGCGCTCGTAATGATGTTCAGCGGCCACCAATAAATAGATTGGCCGTTTAAAGCCTTCGAACATGTTCATAAATAAGATCTTGATAGGCCCAAAAAGGAAACATAAAATGGCCCAAAGGCCGGCTTAGTTAAAAATGGCACCAACGGCAGGTTGTGGGAGGCTTGATGGAGTTGATTGGGGCTTCAGAGTTTAGGGGTGGGGGGTTTAGGTTTAGGGTTTTGGGGTCGAGGGCTTGCGCTAGCTTCAAGAGCTTTAAGGGATCAAGGTTTGGCATGCTTATTCTTGCAGGCCCAAGCCGTAGCCCGGATTAATGCCTCGAGGGCTTACACAATGCAAGCTCTATCCATTCCGAGCTGCATATCGTTGACGAGCTCTCGGTGCAACTTCTCGAGGGTCATAGTCTTGCCTGTCAAGTTCTCGGCTATCCTACAAGAGACAGAGTCCGGCAGAACCGTAGAACTCTACAGTGGCCGAGACCCGTATAACCCCAACTTCTCAACCTTTGGCCTGTAGAACCCTACTCCTAACTCCTACACCTGCCAAACTCTAAACCCAAATTTATGTTTTAACGCCAAGAACGAACTGACTGACCATGAAACCCTAAACCCAACAGACTACACCTCCCTACACCCCACAACCTACACCCTACGCCCTGCATCCTAAACTCGCTAACCCCTATAAACCTTACACCCAAAACCCTACACCCATATTCAGCTTAAATCTAAACGCTTGCACTCTTGCCACTTACTCGTCGAGGGAACCGGTCCTCAGAGCAGTTATAAAGGACTTATCCCAGAGGGCATGGTTTACGGTTCAGGGTGCCGTGATCTGCCCAAGTATACAGTACAGAGTATACAGGGCCCTGAGACTGTAACACAAAAGGCTTTACCATACCCTAAACCCTAAACCCTAAACCCTAAACCCTAAACCCTAAACCCTAAACCCTGAACCCTGAATCCGGTACTCTGAACCCGGATCCCCAACCTCAAACCTCGCTTACCGTATTTACTATAAGGGGCCTGAATAAGTACAAAAAATACTCTGGTGGGTTCCTTTTTATATTTAAAGCATAATGGCCCCAACAAGCCCATTCTAATTATTCAGGCCCCTATTTTATGAGACCCTACTATAGATCCCTTATAGACCCTTTAAGGAACCCTTTAAAGGAGCCCTATTCTAAGTATTAAGGCCACAAAATTACTTGTCCAGTAGCCGAGGGGTTGAGCTTGATGCCTGAATGGCTAACTGAAGGTCACGAGACAGCTAAGAGACTGGGTTCCTTTTAAAGGGATCTATAAGGGTACCCTTAAGGGGTTCCTTTAAGGGATCTATGGGGGGCATAGGGTTTAGGGATAGATATAATTACCTAAATCACAAGGACCAAGTGTTCAGGGAAGAAATACCTGGGGAAACCTTGTGTTTCAATGGCTCTACCCTATAAAGTATGATCTAGGGGGCCCTAACCTACTGTTCACGATATAAACCCTGCAATACCTTAATGACCCTAAGCTACGGGAATCATGGTATATTCCTTGTTAAGGGTAATGCAGGATTTATATCATCCTAAACCCTAAAAACCCTATAGATCCATTAAAGGAACCCTTATAGATCCCTTTAAAAGGAACCATCAACCCTAAACCCTAAACCCCCCATAGATCCCTTAAAGGAACCTCTTAAGGGTACCCTTATAGATCCCCTTAAAAGGAACCCCTTAAAGGTACTATCAACCGTACCATGTCGGATCTGGAGCTACAGCAAGGGCATCAGCAGCAACATCCCTTAATTAAGGAATATACCTTAAAATATACTAGGATCCCTTATATGATTTAAGGTATATTCCCTAATTAAGGGGTTTTGGAGGCTCTGGGAAGGGCATCAGCAGCAACATCCCCGCTGGAATAAAGCAGGGCCCAGAGCCGATGACTGAGGGACGTGGGTTGAGAACCCAATACCCCTTAATTAAGGACTACCCTTAGGGTTCCTTAACGGGCTCCTTAAAGAGATCTCTAAGGGTTCTATAAGGGAATTAAGGAATATACCATAAATTATAGGGGCCTCATTATTATGATTTAAGGTATATTCCTTAATTAAGGGGTATTGGGCTAGAGCTGGTGACTGAGGGACGTGGCTTGGAAGGGCAGGGGACTCAGTAAGTAGCTTATAAGTAGGGTTATAATTGGGGTATCTCCATTTAGGGTACTTATAACTCTACTTATAACCTACTTACTAAGTCCCCTGCCCTTCCAAGTGGGTTGAAGCAAGTTCCTCGCGACTGTGGGAGTTTCCGAAAATCGGGGCCGGGGACCCTAGTATAGTACTCTAAAGAGTAGGATCCTTATTATAAGGACCCACAAATAAGGTACCCCTAGATTAGGGACCTTAATCTTAGGAGCTGAGTTCGTAAGCCCCCAAAGGTGCACACTTTCAGTTCTACAGTGGGTAATATTACCCCAAGGAAGTGTAAAGTGTATCCACTCAGCTACTAAATTAACCATTAGAACAGCGGTTTGGGCTGTCTTATGTGTAGGTATAACAAGTAACCCTAAGGATTAATGAAGGCAATTGTTTCGGCTTCTATATTAAGCTTTGGGACTTTGCTGCCGCGAGGAAAAGCGAATCAAAACTTCGACCCTGACGGCATCCGACAGAAACAGGTCTAGCTCATGAAGATGACATACTTGGAGGGTCGGGGGACTTAGTAACTGGTTATTTTAGGGACTTATAAGTACCATAACCCCAATTATGGTCCCATTTAGGGTACTTATAAGTCTACTTACTACCTACTTACTAAGTCCCCCGACCCTCCAAGTATCCTAAACCCACCTCAGACCAGATAAGTATCGCATCAGGAGGCATTAGCATCAGGCCGACCATCACCGGGTTGGCCGTTCGAGCCCGGTCCAAAAAGACTAAGTTCCTAAAGACCGAGCAGGAACAATTGTAAACATGTGCCAGCGGCTCACCTAAAACCCAAAACACTAAACCCTAAAACCTGGTTAAACCTAAACCCTAAACCACAAAACCCTAAAGCATCCTAAAGCAAACGGGCTCGGGAATCCCCAGCCTTCGTCGCTCCCCTTCTGTGAGAATTTCGGACTCCACATGGACATCGCGAGTTACTGCTAGCCGGACAGCCGATCCTACGCCCGAAGCCCTCTGGCGGAACCGGCTTCTGCACTCTGACATGTGGAGTGGGCCTGGGCATCTTAAGCTCTAAAAGCCGAGTACTCGAAGCCTGTGCTCACTCTTTCACGATCTTCATGCGTTCTACTGCATCACATATTTCCTAACGGGGTGTGGTGTAGCGCACGTGTCAATCTGTGCAACCGCACTCGTGTATAGAGGTACAAACGTACCTGGTTACATGTAGCCTTGACGTTCCAACACAACACCCTAAGCCCTACACCCCATGAAACCCCAACCCTCATACACCCTACTCCGGGACGCTGCCAGGTCCATGCGATCTAAGAGCCGAAAGAGACGACGAAGCAAGGCAGGAGAGATTAGGGTTGTGGGCTCAGGGTCTAGGGTTTAGGGTTCAAGGTCTGGGGTTTAGGGGTTTAGGATTTAAGGCTGAGGGTTTAGGGGCTGAGGTCTGCGGTGTAGAGTTGAGGGGTCTGGGATAGTTTAGAGCTTAGGGGTTATGATTCGGGGTTTAGGGTCTTAGGGTTGAGGATGGTTTAGGGCTTCGGGGTTGGTGTTTAAGGCTTGGAGTTTGCAATTTGGGGTTGAGGGTTTAGCAGAGGAGCTGGGGATCAGGATATAGGGTAGGGGCCTGTGACTCTGAACTACAATTGTACCCACAGAGTAGGATTTCGGGGAATGTTAATTACGGTACAAATAAATGCAAACGCGGCTGCCAGGGAACACACTTAATCCGTGGTCACTCGACTCCCACGTACTGTCTTGCTTCACCTCCTTCTTCTATCTGTTTGCATACCAATGAATTGGACTCGCATGTGAAAGCCGCTTGCTGTAAGCCGTCTGGTATCTTTCCCCGATACTGAAAGCCATTGCCTAGGTTCTTGTTACAGGATTTAATTTAAGTTACCATCGTAAAAAAGCCATACTATCTACTATAGATCCCTATTTATGGTAACTTAAACTTATAAAATGTCTTAACAAGAACCCGCTTGCAGCATCCTATGGTCATTGCAAGGGACAGACAAGCCATGAAGATCCGAAGTTGTGGGGGGGGGGGGGGGGGGGTACGAATAGACCTTGCAATGGGGATTTCACTGACGCTGATACATGTGTAAGAGATCTTGATGTTCATATGACCGTGTGGGACAGTAAGCCCTAAACCTGGAACTCTAAACCCCTATTTCATGAAATCTAAACCCTAAACCTTGAACTCCCAATCCTCGACTCTAAAGTGTACAGTTTCAGCCCCAAAGCCTAAACTGCTTCTGTGGGCCGGTATGAGGTTCGGCCAGCTGGGAGCCTGGCAACCATTCGGAAACCTTGCAGTAGAACCAGCTTGGCCTGAGGTAGCTCTTTGGGGTTTAGGGTTCCTCTAAAGGGTACTGGGGTTCCTTTACGGGATCTATAGGGTTTGAGGTTTAGGGTTTAGGGCTACCTACATCTTTAAGGATTTGTGCAAGGAAATCAAAATAAGGAACCCGAAAAAGGTACATGATTCAGGGTTCAGGTAGGGTCTAAGGTTTCAGGTTTAGGTGTTTGGGAATAGTTCAAGCTTCAGGAGTTTGGGGTTTTGGGATAGTTTAAGGTTTAGGGGGTGGGGGTTTGGGGATATACTCTTCCTGGAAGCACAGTTACCTACACACTGGGTAGGGATGCGTTGCTTTCAGGGGGTTGTTCGATGAGGAAATCGAAAACTCCCAAACTCTGAACAACGGGAAACTGATCATTTCCGAACGATCCTTTAGGCCTCGGGCCTCGGGCTTATAGTTCCTTTAAGGGTTCTGGTGGGGTTTGGGGTTTAGGATTTAGCAAGCACTACAACTCTTCTGTGAGGGGGGTTTAGATACCTCTCTCATGTTGCAGCCCCTGCACACTCTTGAACCCGTCTTACCCCCAAGCACCCCTAGGACAAACCTCTAGAGCCTATCTGGCTTTACAGCTGCGATCCAAAATCCAGGAACTACCTCGGGAGCGTCACAGTGTATCAGTTCCCGAAATAAATCCTGAATCGCGGGATGCTAACTATCAGGATCCCGGAATTGATGTTCAGCTCTCCACCCACCCTCAGCAAAGAGATTCGAAAGTGCTACACGTGTAAGTGTTGCATACCGTCAGCCTTAGAAGCTTACACCAGCTGCACCCTCTTGGTGTTGTTGGTGTTATGGCTTACGGTTTGGGGTTTCAGGGTTTCGGATCGCCTTGCTTCACGGTGAGTCATGATGCTACACTAGACGGTACTTAGGAGATCCGGGTAAGCCCTCAACAAAGAAAAGCCTATGATGGGCATGGATTTAGGGTTTAGGGTGTAGAGTCTAAAGTCTAGGGTTTAGGGGTATGAACGAAAGCCCGATATCTCCCGGCAGTACCATTTGATCCTAAAAGGTAACCCCAAAAAAGCAACTACAATGGAGACTACAGGTAGGGTGTAGGGTCCACCCAGAGGCCCCAAAGTAGTTCCTTTTGGGGGTTCATATATAGAATCCTATAAGGTACTCCTATGGGGCCTCTGGGTAGGGTTTAGGGGCATGAATAAAAACCCGATGTCCTACTTTTTTTTTCTAGGATCCCTATAGATCCCATATTCGAGTCTTTAATAAGAACCTACAAAAAGCAGGGTTTAGTGGGTCTAGGTAAGGTTTTGGGGCATGAGCGAAAACCCGATACCTCCCCAGCAGTACAATCAACCTTGGCTCCTAGACTCGCACCCTGGACGCTGAAACCTGCCGCGAGAGCCGGGCTCATGGTTGCCGAACTTCATGTCCACCTAGGGTTTAGGGTCTGTTTAAAAAAAGTGCAGGGTTTAGGGTTTAGGGCTTTCTTAGTGCAGGGTTTAGGGTTTAGGGTCTAGGGTTTAGCATAAGATGTGGTTATAAAGCAGCGATTCTTAAGACAAAGGCATACGAAAGACGTACGGCCGACGGATTTTGAGGTGCGGACTGAGGCTATACGCTTCTGCATGGGGATAAGCTGCTGTGCTGAGGGTTTCTCCATCTATGGAATCGTAAGCCCTCGGCACTAGACTTACCTTGGGTTAGTAGGGAATGGAGGAATGGGGTACAATTATAGTTACTATTACTACCATTCTTCCATTCCCTGCTAACCAAAGGTAAGTAGATTCACTAAATCCCGTGAAATTATGGATTCTGGACCTAAACCCTAAACCCTAAACCCTACACCCCATGAGATTATGGATTCTGGACCTTGGAGGGCTGAGGACTGGGGGCGTCTCATGTGTGCAAGCCCCTGACACCCTGAGGACCGTGCATTGAAACTGAAGCTGCAGGCGTTCACGCTTTACTTCTTGGAGCTTGGATGAAGCCTTGTGGTTGAATATTTAGCCCAAAGGGTCCAAGTACCATTTTTTGTAGGTACTTGCTAGATACTTGTCCCCGATTATACTACTGCTTGGACCCTTTGGGTAGGAAGCTGCCATTTGAGGGTCCACAGAGTTGGAGGCATCGTTCCCGAAGCTGCACGCTAGAACTCCTAGTCAATCGGGATCTACAAGCTACGGTAAGGGTTCCAGAGTTTGTCATTCTGGGTTTCCGAAATTGAAAGTAAGTTCCCCAAAAGCCCCTGACAATGAGGGTAACTCTTTTTCTGCTATGGCGAACCCCAGAAAGTTGGAACATGGGTTTAGGAGGATTAGTGCTAGGATATAACAAGAATACTGTTCCAACTTTTAAATTTCAATAAGGAAACCCAGAAATCAACAGGTAAAGGGTACTGCAGGGTAACCTCGGGAAAACCCCGGCTCCCTCTGGTTTTGCGCCGTGGCTTGAAGCACCTGCCAATGAAAAATCTCGTGCCCACCCGGGGTTTAGGATTTAGCGCTATGGGTTTAGGGTTTAGGGCTCTGGGTTTAGGGTTTACATAGGGTTTAGGGCACTTCAAACCTTACCTGTAGCCTGCTAGGTAGCATCATCCTTCAATCCAGCTGCACCCGCAAGCCCCTGGACCCTATCCTCAACCCTAAACCTATAGATCCCTTCAAGCAACCCCTATATACGGTAGATACTATAAATCCTGCATTACCCATAATAAGGAATATACCATAATTTCCATAGTTTAGGGTCCTTAAGGTAATGCAGGATTTATATGATCAACAGTAGATTCCTAAACCCTAAACCCTAAACCCAAAACCCTAAACCCTAAACCCTTTAAAGCAATCCTAAAACCCAAGGCCTGTCTTGAGGTCCCCACGCCGTAGAACATCACAGAGCTCTCCCGCGACATCGATCGCAGGTTCCGGCCTGATAGACTTGTTCTTCCAGTTTAGGGTTTAGGGTTTAGGGCTTTGGTTTAGGGTTTAGGGTTTCGGGATTATTAGGGTTTAGGGTTTAGAGTGTTGGTTTAGGGTTTAGGGTTTAGGGATTAGGGTTTAAGGTTTAGGGTTTTGGTTTAGGGTTTAGGGTTTAGGGTTTCGGGCTTCAGGTTTAGATGGTTCGTTTGATTTGTGAAAACCTGAGCAAAAGCGGCAAGCTCTGCTGTAGAACAATAACAGCCATCGTAGCGCAAAGCGCAAAGAGCAGCAATAATTCCTAACCGATGTACCACTCTGAGGGAGAAGGGCCTGAAGGTATACAGCAAAATGCACGTCATGGTCGGTGAGTGGAGCTGTGAAGGGTGGAAACTATTCGGAGAAGTTATTTCAGGTTCCAGATGGATTCCCGAACCTTACCAGCAGTCTCGAAGGATCTAACTTTGGCTGCCAGGCTGTCTAATTCTACAGGCATGTGAAAACAAAGTTTTCATTATCCAACGGGTCTCGGGCCATTCGAATATGAGCGTTGAGTGTTCGCAGGCGCCTCAATTGAGGCCGATGGTCTGCTATATGAGATTGCAGTCAGATTGGCACAAGGTCCACGCAAAGAGAACTTCTGTCTACCCAGAGGCCCCAAAGTAGTTCCCTTTTTGGGGTTCATAAGGTTCATATTTAGAATCTCATGAGGTAATCCCACAAAGGAACTACTATGGGGCCTCTGGGTGTGTCTTGTGTTGCACGGTCTAAACCCCGAAGATCGGAACTCTCAGTCCTGAATTACTTCTCTTACCTTGGGTTAGTAGGGAATGGAGGAATGGTTTTAGGGTTTAGGGTTTAGGGTAGCTACTATTACTACTGTTCTTCCATTCCCCACTAGCTAAAGGTAAGTTATCGGATCCCGCAAACCGTACAAAGCCCGGGCACATACAACTCGATGACATCAGCTTGCCCCTGCTCCCGAGGGGCCTAAACCCTAATTCTACACCCCTAATTATTCTGAACCCAAACTTCGACCTCGCAAAAACGCCGAAACCCTAAACCTCCAATAAACCCCCCGCACATGCTAGACCCTAAACAGAAGAGGAGAGCCCCCACAAACTCCGACGTCTTGCCTTTATAAAGCCTAAACATGCACATAATGAATCCCTAAACTACCTGAACCATCATTGAGACAGCAAGACCAACCACAAAACCCACACAGTAAATCCGATATCATGATATCCCAAAATATCCCAAAGCTGCAGGCACCCGAAACTTTGATTGAACCCAAAGCCTACCCGTCGACTCGGCCGTTGTGAGTTTTTTTGGGGCATAACACCATGCTGCTTCAAGTGGTTGTATGTGGGGTTTAGGGTCTCGGGTTTAGGGGTTGAGTTGAGGGTTTAGGGCTTAGGGCTTAATGCCCTGCGGAAATGTGCGAAGGACCTCGGGGCAGTGGGCCTCGGTGCGGTTGAAACCCTACTTTTCACCCCTCCGCCCGCCCTGCCCGAAGACTCTGCTCCTTGTGCAGGTCTTTGAGATGTTTAGGGTTTAGGGTTTAGGGTTTAGGGTTGAGATGAGATCCCGGCCAAAAGAGAGGAAATTCTCACCGAAGTGAAAGCTGAAGGAATCCACCTTCCAGTCCTCCGGATGTTCATTGATTCTTATATTATGGGGTTTCAGATGATTTCAGGGGTACTATAAGGGATTCTATACATGTATCGTAGGGTTCAGGGTCGTGGGGTTAGTGGGGTTGCGATGAGGGTTCTGCATTTTGGGGTTTCGGTGTGGTGTAGGAATCGAGCTTTGTGGTTGAGGGTCTCCTTCTCCTGCTGCATTAATGAGAAGGCGAATCCACAAGACCGGAGGCGCATCATGCCAACGGCAGGTGTGGAACAAGCGGTGGTGGCTTCTAATCTCGAGCCGCTTACCCTACCGTGCAGCAGTCGGTACAGCTATCGATGAAACACACAAGATCCCCTATGCCCCTCCATCAAGCAACAAATGCCTTGCAAACCGAGTTCAGAACCCATCTAAACGGAGATTCCTCATCTGAGGGGTGTCGCACTGGGTCGTCGGGGAATAGGACACATGACCACACTGAGCCAAACAACAAACCAAAGCTCGCCGAACACCAACAAGTCAGAAACAAGGTCCAATGTGGGCCTTTGGGGAACCTCTACACTGTGTACCTTATGTTCTAGGCCTTAATAACTAAAATAAGGTTTTGGGGCCATTGTACTGTAACTACAATAAGGAACCCCAAAATAGTATTGGTAATTATTGAGGCCCCTACATTACGTTAAGTATGCCCTTTCGGACACCACGACCATAACTGTGATGGAAGTGCCGTCAGTTGGGACAGAGCATCCCTCGACCAAGGTAGTGGAATACACACAGACCCAGAAATCCACGGCCACAATACTCCTCATGAGTGCAAGCCTTCAGTGTCCAATCTACCACCAAAAGCCCTAGTTCCCCGCATGTGCAAGCCCTAAGCTGCCCTGAGCCCAAGCACTCATTCACCTAACTCACAGTTAGAGACACGTTGAGTGTGTACCGGCAGCATGGGGTCCTGCAACCGCTTCCTCATGAGCCTGGCGTGCAGGTCATGCACACTCGATATGGGAGTTTCCGAAATAGGGGGCCGTAGGCAGTAGGATCCTTATAAGAAGGACCCCAAAACAAGGTACCCCTAGTTTTCGGAAACTCCCATGGCCGAAGTGGCTTCTCCTCATGGTTTGCGGTTCGTGGGTCCTGAAACAACCCCACACCCCAGGGGCTTGGGGGGATGGGAGTTTCAGGGTCTAGGGCTTAGGGTACTGCAAGGGTACTATAATACGATTGCTACAAAGGCTTGAGGTTTGTGTTTTTCGTTTGGGAGTGGTCGGCATCTCAAACTCGATGCGAATCGAGTTTCAAATTGCTGAAATTTCTGCTCCCACCTGAAAGTTCACAATGCAGCACCCTAGACATGCTAAACTCTATAAACCATACAACCTACCATGCAGGACACCAGCACCTAAGAACTCCACACATCCTTCCTGTGGTTTATGCTTGCGGCGTTAGGGATGACCGCAGGGTTTTTGCAGGTTTTTGCATGTTTTCAGGGTTCGGGGGGGGGGGGGTGGGGGTTAATGACGAACCTGTTCTACTCTTAGCAGTTCTACTACTGCTGATGCCTGCTGCCCCCTAGTGCTTTCCGCATCCTGGTTTATGAGCTCAGGGTTGATGGAGTCGGTTTTTGGCTTTCGGGGTCTCAGCGCCCATGCCTCCACATCCCACATCCCCGCATACCCCGGAGCCCTGAAAGTCAGGGTCTACTACCCTAAGGGTCCATGTACCCATATAGCATATACTTTGGGCCCAATGTACCTATATAGGGAGTACTTTCAGGCCAATGTATCTACTATATGAGTACATGGATTTTTAGGGCTACTCTGTATTTTGCCACGAGCCTAAACCCCAAACCCCCGCAAAAGACTACACAGAATCAGCATCGACATTAACATATAGACTTTGTGGAATCCTTTGAACCACGAAATCGATGATACCACACTAAGCCTCAAGCTCTAAACCCCAAACGACGCTAAACCAAGAGCCCCTGAAGCTATTATACCCAGAGGGTCCAAGCACTTAAATAGTAGGGTTTCAAGCTCCAAACACCATTCAGAGTATGGATTTTCGGACCTGCAACACTACTATTTGGGTACTTGGACCCTCTGGGATTATATTTATACGATGGAAACACAGATGCGAGAATGAAGCCACACGGCCCCGAGCCTTGGCAGCGCCAGCGAGGCTGCCACCCCGGTAACGGAGTAGCCGAAACCTAAGCTGTTTAAAAGTTGAGGGGTGTAGGGTTTAGGGTTTAGGGGTTTAGGGGTTTAGGGTTTAGAGGTTTAGGGGTGTCGGGTTTAGGGTCTCTGTTGAGTGCTGAAAGAGCTTAAGGTTTGCAAAGGGCTTTGCGACTTAGGACTGGATTGAATGTTCAGGGCTTGAACTTGAACGCAACATTGAAGTTGAGGGTTGAGGGCCATATCCCAAAGGGCCCTATGTACCTATATAGTAGAGTGTAGGGTTTCTATATTAGAAATTACTATTATGATCCAGGGAAGTATCCCCCACAGCAGTAGTAGAGTTCAATCTTTTAGGATATAGAGTCTCCCCCTTCAGGGTTTCGCACCTCACATATTCGCTGGAGAGTCTTCGGGATTCGGGAACACGTCGCGAGATTCAGCCCGATTTCGGCTCCCACATGGCGGTCCTCGGGGCGTCAGAAAGCTCCCGGAAGCAAGAGCACAATGACGTTGCAGCCAATCGTCTCAATGAAGAAGATGTACAATGTACCGTACCGCTCCAACCGATCGTGATCAGCAGCTGCAGGAGACCGGTACACAAGGATGTCAAGGTTGCCAGTCGCCAGTCGCGGTACAGCTCACCGATCATCACCGAAGCGACGTGGCCACAAATTGTGCTGTTACCTACTGCTGCTGCTGCAGCGCAGGTTCCCAAGCTTAGATATCTCCCAACGGGTCAGTCACAAGACATTCAGACTTGATATGAACCTTAGCACCCTACGCCCCGTTAAACACCGAAATCCGACACACACACACACACACAGACACACACACACACACACACTTCTTTCTCACCACGGAGTCTCTGTAATGGCTGACATGTAGGTGCATGGAGTTTAGGGCCAAACTCACGCGGTTGTGCTGCTAGTGCAGGATACACACACTGTCCCAGTTTGAAGTCCCAAACAGCAAGACATGCGTAGACCTTCCATCTACTCCATCAGACCCTTAAACCCTATGTTAGAAAGCATATATCCCTATTTGAGGGTACAAGAAGGAGCAGAAGTGCTTCGCCACTTCCACTCGAATGCTTACTTGTCCAGTATCCTCGGGGCTGACAGACTGTATAGGAAATTAGAGTACCCCAAAGAGGTCAAACGTTACCTTATAATATAGAGGCCTTGATAATTAGGCTAGGGTTTTGGGGTATAATATACTATAGCAGGAACCCAAAAATTGTCTTGGTAATTGTTTAGGCTCCCCATATTAATTATTCTACTACTAAGAATGCTTCTGGCACTCAGGATCCCTCTTAAGCCACCGGGAGATTGCAAAACATCTGTAGGCCAGAGTAGACCCATCAGGAGAACCTGGATATAATATGAGAGCGCTAATACTAGAATCGGGTCGTGGGGTCCAGCTGCTACAAGTACACTAGGTCACTCTAAGGAATAAGATGACTAACCATTACAAATTATCCAGACCCCTATATTAAGGTCCCCCGAATATACTCATTATTCCGCCCTGTTTGTCAAATCGTCAAGGCCGAGCCGAGGCACCATAGCGCGACATGAGGTAGTTGCACCAAGGATTGTTGCTCTCATGCTGCGTCAGCGACCAGGACACCTGGCTCTTGGCTTCTAGTTGTTCGTGTCTCAGCTTGATGTTAGGGTTGATGTAGGGCACCCTACATCATGACATCTATATATGGTTACACGAACCTATTTAAATCCCGACCGATAAATAAACACTCACGCTTGAAGCGAAGCCCTCAGCCCTGATTCTAGCGTCTCACTCCTACTATCATTATAGTATGATATACCCCAAAACCCTGTTCTAATTAACAAGGCCCCTTCATTAACCTCTCGTTGTTGCAAGTCTGGCTCCCAGACTGTCGCCTCTCAAGAGTCCCGGGCCTAAATAAGCCCTGAAGCCCCTGTAGGCACAAAAGACCTATACGGTTGATGATATAAATCCTGCATTACCCATAATAAGGAATATACCATAATTCCCATAGTTTAGGGTCCTTAAGGTAATGCAGGATTTACATCATCAACCGTACTACGTAGGACCCTTATTCAATTAAAAAACCCTACCGTAGCATCCTGCAAATCCTTGCCCTAAGGCTCAAAATGGCCCAAAGGCCTCATATAGGCCCAAAAGATCTAAAATATGAGTCCTTAGAGCCTTAGGGTTGTAGAACCTAAACCCTAAACCCTAAACCCTAAACCTTCAACACAGGTGCACTGTAGGCCCTGCTCCCAGCACTTGTCTGACACCATGTTCTACTTGGAAGGGCAGGGGACTTAGTAAGGGCTCTTAAAGGGCTCCTTAAATGGATCTACAGGGTTCCTTAAAGGGATCTATATGGGGTTTAGGGTTTAGGGTCTACTTGGAGGGGCAGGGGACTTAGTAAGTAGCTTATGAGTAGGGTTATAATTGGGGTATCTCCATTTAGGGTACTTATAACTCTCCTTATAACCTACTTACTAAGTCCCCTGCCCTTCCAAGTAGAGGCCCAAAACAAGCAGAACAGGGTTTTAGTTTAGGGGGGTTTGGGGTTTAGGGTTCTGGAGTACCTTGTAGTAAACTAGGCTGTTCAGTAACCACGGGGAAAAAGTATCTACTGTTTTAGGCTTCTTGTTTTATAATAGGAACCCACAAACCTGAAAGTAAAAAAGTGTACCACTGAAAAGCCTGGAGTAAAGTTCCATAGGGATTCCTTTATCGGACAGACAAAGGGTTTGTACAAATTGCCAGAGCGCTACGCTGAGAGGCCCCTTGCCAGCATTGAAACTAGGTTGTCTGTGGACCTGCCTGATAACATCTGCCAAAGGTGTTTTTACTCAAAACGACTTTCTACAGGCACAGACCCCCCAACACTACAAGCCTTCAACCTGAACCTACTGAGTACTGACGAAGCACAGGATCTTCAAAAATTCCAGTACTGGCAACTCATGTACGTGCCCTATACGCAAACCTCAGCATGGCAGCTCGAAACAACCACTCCCAAAGACTCCATGTACCCATATAGTAGGTACTTGGGCCTTAAAGTACCCATATAGGGACCCCTTTAAGGCCTAAGTACCTACTACATGGGTACATGGAGCCTTAGGGACTGACAAACCATGTACCCCTGAAACACGTTGCTAGAGTCCTCAGATGCACCAGTACCAATAACAAAGCTGGCTTGGCAGAAACTCCTAAACACTGCATAAACCCTACATTAAGCACAGCACTCTGCCGCTCCGGACCTTGGCGAGACTAGTTCGATCAAGGTCACTAGCGCTTGCGCCCATCACCTGGGATTACATAGCCGAGCTTTAGGCTCAGAGCTTAGCGTTTTGGGCTTAGGGTTGTAGGCTCTCCGGACGCTTTGCGGATTTAACTTGAGGGTTCATGGCTGCTTAAACCCTAAATCCTAAACCCTAGCCTAAGGGTACATGTGCCCAGGCAGTATAAATGTTGGCTTTTGGCTTGAAGGGATCTCCTTAGGGTTCCTGTAAAGGATCTATAGGGTTTAGGGTTTAGGGGATCCCAATATCCCTTAATTAAGATATAGGAATATTCTATGCAGGCACTTTGGGGACAAAGTATATAGGATATCTGAGCACATCAGGTGTTTGGGTTCAATTTTAGAGATTAGTGAGGCCGTTTGCCCTTTTGGTTCAGAGTTCCGGGTGTACCAGGAACCCCCAAGTGCTCCTTTGTTGTGCCCTTATGGTCCTTTCTTCTGATTTATTTTATGGGTATTTGGGGCATTAGAGAGGGTAGTTGGGGGGTCTACCGAAACCCTAACCCTACGTACCCCAAACTCTAAACTTCCTCAACAGCCGCCTTGGATTCGAGGCCGTGCATCTGTGCTATGGGCACAGAAGGTTCAAGGCCCCCGGACCCTGGCCTTTGAGGTTTAGGGTTTCGTGCCCGTTTAGGATTCAGAGCAGGGCGTAGAGTTTGGGAATGTATGCCTGGAGGGCCACAACTCATGTAGGAACCTGCTTAAGAAACCTTGGGCCTTTATTAGGGTTCATCGTATGGATCCTAATATATTGGGGGTTATAGGGCCAGGGTCTCTTGAACAGGTTCCTACAGTATTATAGTACCCTTATAGACCCCTGAAAGTAACCCTTACAGATCCCTTCAAAGGAACCCTTAGGCCCAGGGTTTCTTAATCAGGTTCCTACATTATAGTTCCTGAATTGACATCTTCAGGCTTTACGGGCTGAGTGACACCGGAGGTCTGCGTCGAAAGTCTCACTTCCACAGGGTTAACTTAGTTGCTGAGTCCATAAGCCCCCAAAAGTGTACACTTTCAGTTTTATAGTGGTAATACTAATTATCCCCAAAAAATGTAAAGTGCATCCACTCAGCTGCTAAGTTAAAAATGCCATGCAGGCAATGCCTGAATACTTCGTTACAGCTGCGCAGCCCTGCGCATGTTCAAAACCCAAAGTCCGAAGGCTCAAGTTCTCTAGACCTTTGTACTACAGCCTCAGAGAATGATGATGTCAACCCTAAACCCCAAGACGCTTAGCCCAAACCCTTAACCCTCGGTCCCTGCAACCTTCCACCTCTTCTCCAACGGTAATATAGGAGCCTTAATAAGTAGAATAGGGTTTTGCGGCCTCATTATACTATAATTATAATAAGGAACCCCCCCAAATAGTATAGGTCATTATTAAGGCCCCTATATCAGAAGGGGCCCCCACGCTGTAATAGTGGTATAATAGGAATATAATAGGCCCTAATATAATCCTTATAGTCACTATTACAGGGTGGGGGCAGCTTCTAGCCCCTATATTACTTCTGCAGCTCCCCGAGAAGCTGCTCAGGGCGTGGCGACAACGGACTTAGGCCTGGGGGAAGCGGTCTTCACTTGAAGTCCGGTTTAGGGTTTAGGGTTTAACGTTTACGGGGTTCCACCCGTAGTTCTACTTAAAGGGTCATGGGATATAATAAGAGTAAGTATACTTATAACTACTTATAACCCCAATTAAGGTACTTATAACCTTACTTGCTAAGTCCCATGATCCTTTAAGTATGTTCAGGGCTTACCTATGGTTTCCATTGCAGTTCCCTGTTTGGGGTCACATTGGTTATGCCAAGAAGGAACTACAATCAAGGGAGACTATAATTACTACTATTTGCTTAAGAACCCCCAAAAAATAAAAAGTATATTCCTTATGGGGGTAATATAGGGATTATTATTTTTATTTTTTGGGTGGTTCTTAAGCAAATAGTAGATTAGCTCTGGGATTCTGCCACAAGCTTTCGGGAATGAGGCTTCAGGATGGTTCAAGTATACCGGCTTCCTGGTCCCGGTCTGGCGAGGGGTTTCGGGATGGTTCGAGCGTTGCGGTAGGGCTAAAAATCCCAGAGTGATTATATGAAGGTGTGAGGATCTGTCTAGTTGTGGGTTTACAGGCCATGTAAGTGGAAGGCCCTATGCAACACCCTACATACAGGCTCCTTTAACAAAAGGCTTTAAGTGTGAAGACCCTCCTCTGACCATAAAGGCAATTTTGCAGACCCTGCAAACACTGCTCACTACTAAGGGCCCCCACAGTCAAGTCAGAGATGGTTGGCTTTTATCCATTTGTCTCGTACCCTGGGAAACTAAAGGTTAATTGACTGTTGAGGTATATTGGGGTTATATAGGGGTTGTAGTAATTACCGAAAAAGGTTGAAGGATACAAATACCCACTCACTACCAAGTTTAAGTTCATTGTGGCCGAAACTCAGGAGAAAAACTCGGCCATTGCTTACTCGTAACACTCCAGGGTCAGCGTCCTCGGCAAGTTGGCTATCTAGGAATAGGATTAGGGGGGACCCCTGGGGATGTAGACCCTCTCAATATCGTCTTTTTTAAGAGAGCCAGAAGGTGGATGAAGAAGGGTCAACTTGAAGGGGTCTGCCTAATACGGCCGAAAACTATAAAGCAAGGAAGCCAAGCTGGGATGCAAGCAATATGGGGGCAGTAATAACTTATACGATAATGATAAGGAGCCCCCTTCTAGTATAGGCAATTACTACGGCCCCTATACTACACTTTAGTGCAAAAGTGGTGACAACCCAATCAGGATGCAACTGCATGTTCTATTTAATTCGCCTTGCTTCCAAAAACAACTCCCTCCCTCAACCACAACCCACAAGTTCCCGCTACTCTCCGAACGGGAAGATCCTGAAAACTAAACCCTAAACCCTGCTTGGAGGTTCATGGGTATTTGTGAGTCCCCTGACAAGGACTATAATTAGAGCTACCCTACTTATAACCCCACCTATAACTATGCACGGACCTCCAAGTCGACCCTGAACACTGACAGTTTCCATTCGTGACGAGCAGCTGGGTGGCTCATGGCAGCTCGCTGAAGTGGGTATAGTTGGGTTTAGGGGTTAAGGTTTCAGGGTTTAGGGTTTTGGTTTACAGATTCGGGCTTTAGGTTCGGGGTGGGAACACTTTCGTTAACGCGTTACGGAGCTTGTAGGAAATCACAAAAGTTCTGGCAGCCGCGCAGGAAAGCCCGTGCTTAACGAGCTGCTCTAACTGACTCCAACTCAAGCTGGGCGTTTGAGAGCTCTGGTTCAGTCTGGACGGGATCGCCGTCCTGCTCTTAAAAGGCATTTAACCAGAGCCTGGAGCCCTCTGCTATAGCTTCTGCCCTTCGAAGATCAGTTTCAGGACATCCTTTGCCTTTGTTACAAACACCTTCTGGCTTTTGCTGCCGCAAACTACTCGTCGCGATGACTGGACTAGTCATGGGTTTCGCTTGGAGCACACCTGATCTTGTGGAGGCTGCTCTATGCCAGCCAACCCTAACCTATTCTGCACGCCGCTGGTCAGACGAGGGATCTGAGCCAACAGGGCTCGGAAGCCGACGCGGAATGTGTGAGATTCCCAGAGAGCCCAATACCCCTTAATTAAGCAATATGGCTTAAACTATATTATCGGGCTTCATACTAATATGATTGAAGCTATATTCCTTAATTAACGGGTCTTGGGCTCTCTGAGCCCCCACTTTTAGATTCAGGGTATAGGGTTCTGAGGACGGGAGAGTTTGGGTCCTTATTAAGGGTCCCTCCTTTTCCCCTTTGATCTTAATGGGGACCCCTATATACCCTATCATGGGCTATATAATGGGTATATCATAGCTACATTAAAAATTAAGGGTATACATATACCTAGGGGTCCTTATTAAGGGTCCCTGCTTTTCCCCTTTGATCAATACCTCGGGCTTCAGGGAATGGGGGGTCAGCTCTCGGGTTCCGGATAGTGAAGAGGAGAAGGTCTTAGACTCTAGACTCTAGACCCCAAATCCTAAATCCCAGTTTTGGGCCACCCTAAACCCTGAACCCTAAACCCTATACCCTAAATCCTACACCCTAAACCCTAAACCCTGAACCCCCTAAAACCTTTTAAGGCCTCCGAGACACTCTTGCAAATCTCAGGGCTAAAGGGGCTCAGGCCGTGAGGGACATGGGGTTGGGGCTGCATCTAGAGTCTCCATTGTAGTTCCTTCTCTACTATTTGCTTAAGAAACCGCCAAAAAATTTTAAAAAAATAATCCCTATATTACTCCCATAAGGAATATATTTTTAGTTTTTGGGGGTTCTTAAGCAAATAGTAGTTCTGGTTAAGACTTGAAACAACGTATGGTTAGGATCCTATGCTTTAAAACAGAGTAGCCACAACACGGAACTATGTACAGTTGGAGACTACTATATCGGTAGGGCTTCGAAGCGTGTGGAGCGTTTCATGTGCACTTGAGACTGTACTTGGAGGTTCATGGGTAGCTATAAGTAGCGTTATAAGTCCCCTGATAAGGGTTGCAAGTGGAGTTACCCTACTTATAACTACCCATGAACCTCCAAGTAGGGTTCTATACTGAACTTAGAACCCTAGCAAAAACTATAATTTCAGCTGTTTCTTAGGAATTATAATAATCAAAAAATATTTCGAAGTACCCCTAAGACTACCCATGAACCTCCAAGCAGGGTTGAGGGTTTGAGGTTCAGGGGACCCAGGGCAGCCAGGCGCACGGGCTGAAAGAGAAAGGGTGGTATCGGATCGTCGAAACCCAAAAACAAGACCCTAACGTTGATGATATAAATCTGCATTACCTTAAGGACCCTAAACTATGGGAATTATGGTATATTCCTTATTATGGGTCATGCAGGATTTATATCATCAATCGAAGAACCTTAAACCGTTAATCTTCAACCGCTAACCTTAGATCCTAAGCCGCAAACCCTAAATCTTGAACAATAAACCCTGCACCCTTAGCCCTAAACCCTAAACCCT